TCAACGTTCAGTCAGTTCAACGTTACAGTCAACGTTCCAGTTAACGTTGCGAAAATGCTGGCAGGGGCAGCATTTTGGAGTTTTCAAGCATAAAAAGCAAGAAATACATGTATTTCTTGCTTTTTATGCTTGAAAACTCCAAAATGCTGCCCCTGCCAGCATTTTCGCAACGTTAACTGGAACGTTGACTGTAACGTTGACTGAACGTTAACTGAACGTTGACTGTACGTTAACTGCAAATTCCTACCAAATGTAGCAAAGTTGTGGAATTCTTGCGATTTTAGAATGACCTGCTGCTGCGCAAGATGCACTGTCAGGGCTGCATGGCTCCATTAGCGAAGACAGCGACATGGACGCTGCTATACTATACGGCGATTCAGATTTTGCTGCAATGGCATTTCATGGCAAGCCACACAAGTACGTCACGCACCATGTCACGACCCTCTAGAAACGTCATATCACGAGCCTCTAGAAACGTCATTACTCGAGTCAGTCCCCAGAGCGGGGTCTAGCTTTGGCCTGCTCGTGGCTTTCCTACATGGCTTGCAGATACTTCCAGTCAGGGCAACGTTGCATAGAAGTCACAGTCAACGTTCAGTCAACGTTCAGTCAACGTTACAGTCAACGTTCCAGTTAACGTTGCGAAAATGCTGGCAGGGGCAGCATTTTGGAGTTTTCAAGCATAAAAAGCAAGAAATACATGTATTTCTTGCTTTTTATGCTTGAAAACTCCAAAATGCTGCCCCTGCCAGCATTTTCGCAACGTTAACTGGAACGTTGACTGTAACGTTGACTGAACGTTAACTGAACGTTGACTGTACGTTAACTGCAAATTCCTACCAAATGTAGCAAAGTTGTGGAATTCTTGCGATTTTAGAATGACCTGGCTGCTGCGCAAGATGCACTGTCAGGGCTGCATGGCTCCATTAGCGAAGACAGCGACATGGACGCTGCTATACGGCGATTCAGATTTTGCTGCAATGGCATTTCATGGCAAGCCACACAAGTACGTCACGCACCATGTCACGACCCTCTAGAAACGTCATATCACGAGCCTCTAGAAACGTCATTACTCGAGTCGGTGGATGGAGGAAATCTTGCACCACCTACACATCTTGTTTCGAATACACATCCAAGCAACAACCCCGCGCCCCCTTCTTAACATTGACGACAGACCTCTTGGGGCGGTGCAAGATTTATGTCATTGGAACGATTTTGTAAATCCCCGTGTTCATAGCAATGTTAAGAAGGGGGGAAGGGGTGAAGCTAACTAACATATCTTAAAAGTGGTGCAAGATTTCCTCCATCCACAGTAGTACTACTGCTACTACTACTACTACTACTACTACTACTACTACTATTACTTACTACTACTACTAGTACTAGGACTAGTACTACTACTAGTACTACGACAGTACTACTACAAGTACTAGTACGGCTAGTCGTACTACTAGGTCTACTAATAAAGTAATAATGATAATTATACTCGGACTCGTGGCAGTGAGTATTGCTGAGAATTAGGATATGAGCGAATCCAAGACGAAGGCCATTGTCTTTGCGCGAAGACCACGACCACCAAGACGACCGGCTCAGCGCTTGCGCTTGCCGGACGAAGGCGGCGGGCTCACCGGGTCCTTGCCCGAGCGCCCGGACCCGGGAGTCTTCGGGTCGGAGCGAGCCTTCCTCTTCGGCGTAGCCGGCGGGGGCTGCTGCTCGGCCTCCTTTGGCTGCTTCGAAGACGAAGTCGAAGGCGAGCCTGATGGAACCGCCTCGAAGAAGAGGGGCTTCTCAGGCATCGCCTCGGCCTCATTGTTCTCCATGACGTGGGTCATGGGGATGCTGATGCAGCCCTTCACGAAGGCCGTGAAGAAGAGGTGGGGGCCCTTCATCGGGAACCCGCGGATTTCCTTCGGAAGTCGAAGGCGAATGTCCGTCTTCAGGTACCGCACGACCCCGAACGTCGACTTGTCCTCGTCATCGGTGGCATGCTCAAAGTTCCAGTACTTGTAGAGCGGATGGCCGAGGAAGTCCTGCAAGAAGCTTCAGGCCGGCCAAAAAAAACAATCCAGTACATAATTAATTAATGTAAGGCTGATATATAGGTATTTATTATTGATACCAGAACATCAACAGCTCACGAGGCCCGACCCCCGTCCTGCCAGGTCTCGCATACCGGGTCCGAAGACGAAGACCAAGACTTCAGAGGACTGTCCGACTCCTCGCTTCTGGTCTTGCACCACTGGAGCAGCTGGCTCTTCTGCTTGCTGGGCAAGGCGCTGCGGAGATCCACATGGAGGACGAAGGCGACGACCTCCGTGACGTCGAACTTGGAAATCTTCTGCCCCTTCTTCAGCATCTTCTCTATGAAGGAGGCCACTGCTGGCGTCACCAAGGCGAGGATTTCCAAGGCCACCGGGATGGTCAGGAGTCGGAACTTGTTCATGTAGCTCGGCAACCTTGTGTCCGCATCGGCGTCCGTCAGGGCATTCTTCTGGTCCAAGGCGTCATAGGAACCGAGCATTATCGAGCGGTGGATGTGTTCGAATCCCCTTGGGTGCGACTCGCACCACTCCACGATCTGTTCCATCATGATCGCCTGGTTAGCCTTGTCGCTGGACAACACCTGTTTTTGTTCCCTCCTCACAGCGTCATTTTTCTTCTCTGCAAGGCGCTGTTTCTTGCTGACGCTGGCCGCCCCAGCCGCCGCCGCGGTCTTCTTACCAGCTGCCTTGGGTGCCATTGCGAAAGAAGGCGAGAGAAGATGGAGGGAGAGTCGAAGGCGAATCGAAGCCGAAAAAGCTGCAGCTTCGTTGGAGCATGCACACTCTGAACGGCATGAGCCTTGAGTGTCACTGACTGTAATAAGATGCAGAAGAGAAGGGTCGCGATACAAGCGAGGCTGGGTGGACCTTGCGAAGGCGAAGCCCAGTTGTCACCAGGGCTTGGCAACCTGCGAATGTGTGTAGTCGGAATGCTGTCACTGATAGAAACCCGTAACGCTGTAGATTCCCTGCCCGCTCCGCCCCGCAACCAGAAGTGTATAATCCTTACATGATGACAGAATCAGCAGCAGGACGACGTGGTCAAGCAGTCCGAATCGGGCGAATCGTTTGGTTTGAATGTTAAATTCAGGCTGTCCGATTTACGGTTCCTGAAAAAGTTTGGGGCATTTTTGTGTGGAAGGTGCCCTAAGCCCTCGGTGTTGCTCGGACATGTGGGGTTTTCGGGCTTAACAGCTGAAGTCTAATCAGGGTTTGAAGTCGAGGGAATGGGCATCTGACTTGTTGACGGTTTGGGGTTCCCGTTGGTTCGGGCAAGCTCAAGTTTAAATAAAATACTGATGTCTTTGGATCAGAGGCTTCGTTAATCAAAGTAATCTAATAAAGCAGAATCTTCCGGCCTTGACGGATAACACAATGTAGACTTGACCGACAGGAACAAAACTAATTGTCGCCTGAGCTCCAGTCCAAGTTAAGTTGCATTGTATAACTCTTTCCTCCCTTTCCCCATCAATGGACACTCGAAGATCTTGCTGTGCAGCAGCGGAAGGCGCAAGGGGCTGTTGGCACGACTGACGAGGAGAATAGGCGTTCACACCCAAGAGTGCTACAGTAGATGTAAAGGTAGAGGCAACTGAGGGAATTGAAAAGAGACATGAACGAATACAGTATCGATTGTTTATTGCTTGGCAATCCCAAAATTTCGTACAGCTCAGCCCAAATAACAGCCCTAGTTTGTCAACAATTAAAACAAGCCTGAGTCAATGGAGGTTTCAGTGTTTGGGGTGAGGGTCGTAAACAACTACACTTCCAACAGTCACGCCCAAACGATGGCTGATGTGCCTTGTCCGGGTCGTTCTGAAGTACGTGAGGACAGGATCGGCCTTGAGTCGGGGGGGGACGAATCCCTGGTCTTCTCCACAACGAATTAGGGAATACCCGAAAAAGGTACTCCTGTCAGTCTGACCCCTGAAGTTTTAGACCAAACTCTGATCTGAAAGCCTATTGAGTAAATGTCATTAAAATAGGGTTCCTTGGCTTGAATAAACACAGGATCTTAGCAAAACTGGTTGTACTGTGCTGGACTGCATGCAGTCCAAGGACGGACGGAGGGGAGTTCTCAACAAATCTAGCACAAGTCAGTGTCTGTCTTGGTTCTCTCAGACCAGGCAATAACAGTCCATTGTTAAACAATGGGCAGCCGAGTGCGCGAAGCCCTGACAAGGCCGAGAAGAAAAGTTTATCCCAGGGTCCCAAGAGCAATCTTGGGACCCTGCGATTCGGTGGCCAAGAGCTCTCCTGCGCACAGCGGCAGCAAGTCGCAGGACGATTTAAATGGCTGATGGGTTTAAGTGTAGCTGTCGGGAGAAGAAATAATTATGGCTGGTGGTTTTCTCCGTTTTTTTTTTGTCCCCGATTCTTGAGCAGAATTAGGCGTCACCAAGGCGAGGATTTCCAAGGCCACCGGGACAGTTCGAACTTGTTCGTCATGGGAGTGGATTCATGTCGCTCGGCAGCCTCGTCTCCGAATCGCCGTTGGCCAGGGCATTCTGGTGGTCGAGTCGAGGGCGTCATAGGACCCCGAAGCGTGATGGACCCTTATTAGTCGTCGAAGCCATGCGAAGGCCATGAGACGACGATGTGGTCCATCATGTGATCGTCTGAGGAGAGGACTTGACTTTGACTGCTTGCCCAGTGCAAGTGCCGATTGTTTTGGTTCCGCCTGCCGCTGCAGCCTTCTTACCAGCCTTCGAGCCATCGCAAAACCAAGCCAGGAAGTTGGTCGAAGTTGAAGCGTCTGTTGAAGGCGAAGACTCGGATCTTTCTAGCCATCGGTCGAAGGCGAAGAGTAAGACGCGAGTCGAAGCCCCGAAGCCTTCAGTTGAAGGCGAAGACTAAGACGTGAGTCGAAGCCCCCAAGCCTTCATTCGAAGGCGAAGACTAAGACGCGATGATTCGAAGCCCCGAAGGCCTCAGTCGAAGGCGAAGTCGCGACTCCTGCTACACCTCGGGCGGAAACTCATACGGGCAAGTCTCGCCAGGATTCAGTTGCAGGTAGCGTCTCCAGCTCATGTGCAGTAGCTTGTAGCAGCACCTGCTATCTGCTCCGCTGGGACCCCAAGACCTGGATGCGCTCCATCGGTGCTGCTTGTGGAACACTCTCCAGCACTTGTTGAACTGATCCTTGTACCCTCTGTAAAAAGGCGGCAGCAATTGCTGCAAGTCCTCGACGCTCCAGGCAGCATTGGACTCGAATCGGACCTTTTTGCGCCTCGTCGAAGACGACGAAGACGCAGCCGATTTCGAAGCCGATCCCAAAGTCGAACGAAGGCGCTTGCGAATCCTCGCCACAGCTCTGGTCAGCATCGCCGCTTCGACAGCCTGGCTTTGACGTGTCCGCTGCGCAGCCTCCACGTCCTTTTGAGCATCCTTCCCGAGGACATCGTCCAGCATGTCTGAAGCCAGAATCTCGTCGAGCTCCTCATTCGCAGATGGACAGCGCCAGTGGATGTTCCGCTCTAGAATGCTGGCAACTTCTTCCGGGCTGCAGTTCATGCCCTTTGCCACTGCGGCCTCCAAGGCGAAGCCCAAGTCGTCTTCGCGCCAATCCGTGTCCGCCTCTGCCAAGCCGAACTCATCCTGTCGACAGTTTAATTAATTTACGAAGCAATGAGAGAGTGTGACAAAAATTTCAAAAGGTATTGTTAGCTAAGCCGGTTAGTCCTGGAGGAGCAGCTTGACGTAGAAGCTGCTGATGTCCCAGTAGGCATGAGCAGCAGCATGCTTCAGCAAGGCGACAGGATTCTTGGCACGCTCGCGCCACATCCCAGGAAGGTGTGGGACCTGCAACTCTGCAGGTTTCTTTTTGTTGCCGCTGCTTTTCTGCAGAATCCCTGCGTGCAAAGGCGACACGATCGTCGTTTGCAGGACCTGCCAGTCGGCAAACTTCTCCACAACCTTCCAGTGCAGATGCCCCCGTGTCAACGGCTTTGGCAAGGTGTAAAACACACTCTTGTCCGCAGCCTCGACTTTCTGCACGGAAATGCAAAGGGCCGCCGCACAGGTGGGCCAGGGACCAAGGCTGAAGAAGACCAAGTCCGGGCATCTCCTGTCCTTCACAACCAGCCCACGCTGGAGGAAGCGGGTCCGCCACGTGTGGACGAGGTCCTGCAGCCGCCCCTCCTTGTGGAACCGCACCATGAGTGCTGACTCTGCAGGGATGGCGGAGGCACGCAAAGGCGAAAGCGAAGGCCATGTTTTGCGATTCAGGATTGTTCGCAGATCCTCCGTCGAAGGCGAAAGCTTTCGAGTGTGGAAGAAAGTCGCAGGCACTGTCCCGACTGAGACCTTTTGGGTGCAATTTAAACAAAAAGACTGAGGACAAGCTATTTGATTCAATTTAATGAGGACTTTACTGAAGTGGATTTTCCGTTCAATGCTTCTGGGGCGAACATTGATTCTCCCATTCCCCTACCTCGGCATCATCCGGCTCGATCTCTTGGTAGCCGAAGGACCCCAGGATGTTGTCGCCTGTTAGCTTCGCCCAGCCATCTATGGACGGCATTGCGTGACTCAAGTTCTGGCCTTGTTCGTGCTGTCGCATCGCACGGAATCCTTCTTCGTTGAAGGTAAAGGCTAAGTTTGACCAGAGATCCGTCATGACCGTCCGCAGCATCGGTGTGGCGCTGCCATTGTTCTGGCGAATGTCCTGGAGCACATCTTTTACAAGCCGGTGCTGCATGGGCGAGGTCTGGCAGGCAGATTTGCACCACTTCGTTCGAATGCCTTGAGCACTCTCAAAAGCCTTTGCCTGATCTTCGAGTTCCACGCACACTGTTTGGATGGCCGAGGTGTCGTTGCCGGTGAGCAAGACGAGCTTGTGCGGGAAGTCGAAGAAGGCCATGCTGGTCAGGCACTTCTGGTCATGCGCACAAGAACATGTCGCAGAGCTGGCCGAAAAGCATGTCCTGTTGACTGACAAGGGGGTGCTCCTCGGTCAACTTGTTGTAGAACATGGAGCCGGCGCAATCTTCTTGCGTTAGAAGGCCAAGGCGATGATGAAGATCGGCATCGAAAATGGCGTCGTGCATTTCTGAGAGAACGGAAATCCAGTCTCCCAAGGCGAACGAACGCCACATGGCCAATGCGCCTTGCCTTCCCCTGACTTCTCTACGCAAAGTGTTCAACTGTCTGGACAGAGGAAAAGTGATTGCATGCCAGCTGTTCAAGGCGTTCATGAGGTCCAAGTCCATGAGAAGCAGACAGACCACGTGGAACTTGTTCTTGCACCTGTTGTACAAGGCAGTGGTCGCGGCCTTGGCTTCCTTCATGGTCTTGGAGCCTTCCTTCTCCGCCCTGGCCGTTGCAGAGGCGGCGGCCGCCGCTTCCGCGACTCCGAAGGCGAAGTCGACACCCGAAGACGATCCTTTCAGAATGCCAGCTCGCAGGCAGTAAGACTGCATGAGCAGCAGCAGCAGCCCGCTCTCGTCCCGGCGGCTCCGCCATGCGGAGTGAAACTCGTCCCAGCGTGAGAAGTTGCCGCTGCCGGTGTACGACCGGAGGAAGCGAGCTTCCTCAATGCGTGGGGATTTGACCTTGATGATGTTGCTGCTCACCCCACAAGAGCTGTAATGGATATCGGTGTGGCTGGCTTGCACTCTCCACAGACTGGACACTGTCTCTCTCCCTTACTTCCACGCGTGCAACCCTATGCAGGCAGAACCGGCGGCCGTTCCTTTTGCACTCGCTGCCGGCGGCGGTTCGTCTGTGCACGGGATAGCTCTGATTGCTCAGGTCAGAAGATATGTATATAGCACTTAGCTATGGGCATTGGCTTGAGCCAAACGTTGCATAGGCGGTCACATGGAAAGGTAAGGAGAAGCGATGCGGTGTGCGTAGCACGTCCACAAGCTTACTCCTAGAGTCGAGGGACGCGTAGCGTGCCCCCTTCCCTTGCACTTTACACGGTCTCGCTCACAGCTCTTATAGTGACACCTTAGAACTTGACAAGGCATCGCAGTCCGTTCGCACCCCCCATGAGTTGCGTCTCCGACGCTGCTCACCCGGAAGATGGCACGATAGGACAACAGAAGAAAATGTTCCGCCGCAACGTTGACATAAAAAAAAATCAGAGCTTTGCATCCCAATTAGAAACGTTGTGACACTCATCTACGTCAGTAACGATCCCCTGAAATGGCAAACGAATCAGGCGTCACTGAAGAAAGAAGCATTCGCGATGGCATTCCACGGGCGAAGCTCAGAGGTCACAAACTGAAAGGTGATGTGGTTCAAGTATTGTCTCGATACCATCTTCGTGTTGACGCAGGATCGCGGTCCCAGGGCCGGAGGTTCTCCTCTGGATACGGGTCCCTTTGCTTTCCTTTGTCCTTGCCTTTGTTTCGGCCTTTACTGGAGACGTAGTCATGGTAGGTGTTGCTGTTCCAACCTCCATACTGCTCATTTCCAGTTCTCTCACGCCCTTTTGAAGGTCCCTTTGCCGAAGAAGCGCTTGCACGTTCCTCCGTAGTGACAGGCGTGTCCATGATGGAAGTACCACCCGGAGGGAGATACTCAGTGGCCGAGATGTGATGGAGAGCTTCAGTACGTCGGGTTGTCGGATTTTGCTGTCTCTCAGCCTTTGATCTGACCAATCTGTCCATGAAATGCGCAGGCATTTGCACATTATGGTCCACCAGCAATCCAATAGTCTGGACTGAGTGATCGGCATGAGTCAGCAGGATACCGACGGGGTCGATGTACAGGAAGTCCACCGGTCCGGTTGGTGTAGGTCGGAGCACTGAGAATTGTTGGTGTCCTGTCACCATCGGAATCACTTCGCACAGGACATTCAAGCAACAGAAGTGCATAGCCTTCACATCTTCATCCTTGTTGCTCTTCAAGTACGTAGTAGGATTGAAGTTGTCCCTGCCGATTCCCATCATGTTGGCTCCCCGCGTAAGCAAAGAAAGCATTTGGTTCGTCCGGAAGCGCTTCAAAGTGTAAGTCCCGTTGGGATCATACTGTTTGAGGTTCTCAGGTTCCTTGGCAAAGCGAATGATCTCCTCATCAGTCACATCCCTACTCACACCCGTCTCTTTGTCCACTCCAGCCAAAGTTCCCCATTTTCCAAGCACATCATACCGTTGGCCAAGCGCAAAATTCTCTTTCATCTGAAACAACGGCATAGTCGCCCACTTCGCGAACCCTGACCAAGCCTTGTAGATGGTCCTGCATACCACGAATGCCATATACGAAAGAGCGGCCATGTTGGCGTCGATGCAATGGGCATTTCGCTTTCCTGGGTAGTAGGATGGCTGCATGGCGGTACGTGCGAGTTGCAGTTCAGGATCGATGTTCAAAGACTGGCCGGCGATGAGGACGGGACGTCGTTCCTGTGCTACTGCATCTGGTACTGCGTCATCAAAGTCCTCTTCTGGCTCTGTGTCCATTTCTTCATCAGGTTCCTGTTCTGGATCATCTTCCGCGACGACAGATGGATCTGGGATTTCCTCAGGTTCCGCAACGGTTTCTATCTCCATGGCTTCCTGCTCCTCGACGGTTGCCTCGGGCACTGCTGCTGCCGCAGCTTCCATTGTCTGAGCAATGAAGTCACTGGGGATCTCCGTAGGAGTCTCCCGTTGTGGAGTACCTTGGTAATATCCGCAAGAAATGAATTGCGACCAGCAGGACGTGCATCGGGAGAAGCATGCCGGGACGATGTTGTAGCATGCCGGGCACACCCTCATTCTCCTTCCATCCTCGTCTCTGCGTAGGTCTTCGGGTCGCCAATTCTTGATGACAAACTTGATCCCTTTGTCCATGTAGTGATGCCGAACCGTGTTCTCCCTGTGGGACTCCAGGACTGTCACAAGGTCTCGCATGATCTGCTCCTTGCTGGTGTCGTGGGGTCCTGGAGGCATCTCGCAAAGCAATTCCATGATCTTGCTTGGTGTTCGGTATCTCTCGAATTCAGTGAGCAAAGGTGATGCAAAATAGTCCAACACCATCTCTTTCTCCAATCGTTCATCATAGATCTTTTCCACCAGAGCGAAAGAGTGCGTATCTCGAGGATTCGGGACGCAAAACCATACTTCCTTGACGAACTGGAACGGTATCGTTCGACCAACGATGATGATCCCGCTGTCTGTGATACGTCCATCCTCTCGTGCGAGGTCCGTCGAAGGGACATGGAGGACCGCCAGCGGCATGTGCTTGGCTTCTGGTCCATGTACCCGCATCTTGGTCGTTGCATTCCGGGTATCGAACGGCGCAAACACCCCCCAATAGCTGTGGAGTCTGCCGCCTTGGTTGCCTCGAAACTGGCGCCTATGGTCGAAGTCCCCGTCGGGGTCCTCCGAACCCGGCATGATGCCTTGCGTGACGATGGAATCCAGGTTGCGGCATGCCGTAGAGTGGAACGCGCCTCCAAGACGTTGCAAGAGGGTCATAGATGGAGATATTGCGAACCTGTTCTTGTCCAACTGAAGCAAATTGTTCTGGGGATCGGAGTGCGAAGAGTGACCACTTGTAGCCCGAACTGCCCATGGCCTCACCCAGCCGTTGCAAACGTTCAGGTACCTCTGGCTGTGCCGGCAACGATCATTGTTCTGGATCTCTGTGATCTGATCAGGAACCGATACCAACATGTTCGAACCTGCGGATCCAAGAGTCTCCGTGCCGGGGTCCTTCACCCTCACTCCCAGGAACTGCAGCCGAATCTTGGCCTTGTGGCGTCTTGTGGCTGCGAGCATGTTCCCTTGGAACAATAGCTGTAGTCTTTCATTGTACACTCTCTTCCTCTGTTGATCATCGGTCCTTGAGACCGCTTCGGTGATGCGTCTGCTGTCATGGGTCCATAGTTGCTCATGCCTCACCAAATCATCGATCAGCACCCACCCTCCTTCATCACATCGAATGACGCTGCTGAATGCCACTTGGCACCTGTCGTCAAGCCATTCCGAGCCTGGGCGCCTGGCGATTCTGTGACGCAGGTCAGATTGAATGCATGATAGCGCCCAATCTGCGTTCTTTCTTCGATGATGGGTGATGTTGCGAAGGACAACTTCATTCACGATGTCCCATCGATTGTGGATGAAGCTTGCACCCTTGGTCGGGATCAGGTCGAGAATCCCGCATCGGATCGGCCTTCCGCCGCCGATGGATTCGTAGCCTGCATTGGTGTAGCCCTGAATAGTCTCATCATATTCAAAGCTAGGACGGTCTCCTCGTTGAGGTAGGCGTCGGTCGCGATGGTCCGAAAGCTGCTCAATGAGGTCCACCACCCGCTGGCTGTTCTCTGGTCCTATGTCCTGCAGCGGTACACCACAAGCATCGTGTAGGCCCCGACGGTTCTCCACATCCGTGCAGAGATTGTGTTTGTTCTCGTAACGGATCAAGACCACATCACCCCGCACGGCTTCGCCTCCGCGTCGCGGTCGGGCTTTGGCCTTGGGTCGTCGGTCCGAGGATGCAACACTCACATGGTCTGTGGTGTCAACGTCCATTGGCTCAGCTTGTTGTGCAGGTGTTCGACGTGGATATCGAAGAAGGCTTTCCTTGATAATCTGGATGCCTCGAATTACCAGATCCCGGGTTGCAGCATTTTCCGTGCAATTTGACAGATGGTGTTGATCACTGCCACAAGCAATACAGAATGTGAGGCTATCGCTCCCGACCGACATTTCGCCCTGAGCAAGTACTCCCACATAGTCCTGAAGCTGCGCGATAAATCCTTCACGAATCATCTGCCTGGGATCAGGTTCTTCAGTACCTTGTTCTTCTTCGGGTTGTGCATCCACATCCACGTCCTGTGCAGGTATTGGTGGAGCAACAGAGACCCCTGGATCGCCCGTGACGTTGTCAGCGGCCTGTGTCTCGTCGGTCCTTGCAATCTCTACGGGGTAGATATCGCCATCGACGATCACTGTGAAGTCAATCACGAGGTCAGCGGACATGTTGTTGACGATCTCAGCGACTTGTTCATTCTTCTTAGGCGGTGTCCTCTTGCGCGGGGAGTCAACCGTGATCAGTTCGATAGCTTCGGCCGACGCGTAGCGGAAGAATGATCTTTCGATCCCCCTCACGCATGCATTTGCCCCCTCAAGGCCACCCCAATTTGGAAAATGACTTGGGTGTCTCATTGCAATTGTAAGAAGCCCGAGTGCCAGCTCCACCGTGTCACCCAGGAGTTCCTCCTTGGGCAAGGCTGACCCTCTGTAGCATTCTTGGCGCTCTTCCGGAGTCAAAAGCATTCTCATGAAACCAGCATAAGCGCAATTCCCGGCATCGTAGTAGCAGATGTAGCATGTCTTGCCTTCGGAATCGTATCCTCTGTCCCATGCCAACTGTTTGGCCTTTCCCCATGCCGCGTACTCGATGGCCTGACTGGCTGTGATTCGGAGACCACCGTAGTGAGAAACCGTCTTGCCGATGTCTTCGTAGACCACTTCCGCACACGCTTTGA